ATCAATCTGTAATAAAAGACGTGAGGAAATTCTGTCTTTTTTAAAGACAAAAATTTTTGAGGCGAAATACCCAAAAAGAAGTTTGTAAAAAATTATCCTTATTTGTAAAAGAACCAAATGCGACACATTGGTGTTTCATTTAAAAAAACTTAAGTTTGATATGCCCTTAATTTTTCGGAACACCCAGTGCAAAACAAATAGTTCTCAATGTTAATGCCAATATTGCATAAAAAATCATATAAAATTCCAGTCCAGCTGGCCACTATTACAATTTCTTTTTGTTGTCAAAGCCATGCTCACACACACACACATTTCAAACACTTGAAAAATTACTTATTACCAAGAAACCAAAGCCTTGGCCTCATTTTACTCGGTTGGGTCTCAATGGGGATTTGAATGTGAAATTTAATTTTTGCAGATGTTCGAAGTGAATCGCAAGAAAGTAATATGTAAAATAGAACCGAAATGGTTCGATCTGTCTACATTCGATTTGCTGCTACAAGTGAAAACTAAACGACTGTTTCTTATCAAATGTAACCAGCGGCTATTGAACGCTGGTTACGAGATCCAGCAACAACATCTGGATACTTTTTGGCAATCTATTATCTATTACGCATTTCAAGACATGTCTGTTTCTTCTCGCACAAGATGTTTTCCTGAGAGATGGGCTGAATTAATTAATGTCGGGCTAAGAATGGCAGATTTTCTGAACGATGGAGGATGGTTCGATTACAGTACAGTCTTTTTAAGTTTGACTGAAAATTTGTTTAAATATATGGAGCTGCCTGAGCGTATGCCCAAGCTGTTGCAATTATATGCATTGTAAGTTCAAAGTTGATTATACGACTGCTAAAATGAGTGATTTATAAATCAATTGTTTGCAGGCAATTATATGCAACGTCAAGTTTTTGCAATTTTGTAAAGGCGACAGAAACGTACGAGAAAATATCTCAAATTATTACCAAATGTAAAAAATTAAAGCTATTCAAAGAACTTGCTGATGTTTACTGCAGTATGTCGATTTTTCACTTCGTCCAGAATAGATATGAAGAGGTAAGATCATGTTAAGTTATTACTCTTTAAATAATGTTACCGTTTTCATTCAACAATAGTCCCTTGAAAACCTAAGATGTCTAATTTATTTTTCACCAACTGACTTCTCCATGGGTCATTGATAGATTTATGATTGGTTTGATAGTTTCGTTTAGTACTAACAAGATGATTTTGCTTCTTTACGTATCAATAATTGTTTACTTGATTTGAGTTATTATTGTTTCAGGCTTATTCAAGTGCTCGAGATGCACTTAATTTATTATCATCCGGCTTGAGCAAAAAGTAAGTTGTAATATTTTTTGTACAACTTTGATACATCGCATCAGCATTTCTTATTAAATTCAAATTTATTTTGAGGGCTACTGATCGGTACATATAAATGTTTCTTGGCAAATATGTGAGGCAGTAGGTAAAATAATCAAATCGCCTATATATACAATTCTTTTATTTTTGGCATCAAAACAACTTCCTGATTAGTTTAAAGTTTTATGGGAACCTTTTATATACGATGTTTCTCATCATATTATTTTATTTTATATTCTAGGAGTATCCTCAACATTTTAAGACACACGTCCAAAATTTGCGTACAAAAAAGATGTTCTTCACAAGCATGGTTATTAATCACGCAAGCACTGGCTCTGGGACAATCCATCCCTTCATTGCCGATGTTTTCTGATATTTTAATGGACTCTGGATATTATTGGTTGAACTCAGATGATGTAGACCGGGGCGTGACTTTTTATAGGAGGGCCCTAAATCTCCGTCTTCAGGTTTATCGAAGCAATAATATTAATATTGCTATTTCCAACGAACATCTCGCTTATGCATTGTATTTGCAAAAGTACACTTCTGGTGACTTTTCCGAGGCAGAGTAAGTGATTTATTGTATTATTTTTCAAATATACCTGTTGTGAACTATTAAGATTCACTTTGAAAATTATTTTCAGGAAATTTTCCAAATCAGCTTTTGACGACATGAAGTCAATTCTTCCGGAAAATCATTATTTTCAATCTTCCGTTAAGCGAGTGAGAGCCTTAATTCTTGAAGAAATTGCTATAGAGTCAGAATCAGATGTCAAAAGGAATAAACTCTTAAGTATAGCCGATGATCTTCATAAGAGTGCTTTAAAAATAAACATTAAACTTGTGGGAATGAAAAATCTTCAAACTGCCAAACACTATGGGAATTTAGGAAGGTATGGCTTATAATGTGGTAATAATGAAAATTAAATGTAAGTGAAATTGGGGAACCTTTTTGCCAAAATCCCTAAACAACTTTGCTCAAGTTCAAGTAAATGTTCCAATTTGAACTTGTATATTGTTTAATAGAACCGATTATTTTTCAATTGCCAATGAAGCACAAGTGCAGATGTACCAATATCATTATTTGCTAGTACAATTTTTCTATTAATTCATTCTGTTTTTATTTTTCAGATTATACCAAAGCATGGGAAAATTTGAAATAGCCGAGCAATTCCAACTGAAAGCCATTGCCATCAAAGAAGAACTCCTTGGTCCGACTAACTACGAAGTTGGTCTAAGCGTAGGCCATTTAGCATCGCTTTACACCTATCATATGAAAGAATACAAAAAAGCTGAAAAACTATACCTCCGTTCAATTGCCATAAATATCAGACTTTTCGGTAAGACTTACTCAAGTTTAGGGTACGATTACAAGGGCTTGATCCAAGTCTACAAAAACACATACAATGTGGAATATGAAATGTTTTACCATGAGAAATTGAGAGAGTGGGAACTCGCGAGAAGCAATATAGAAATAAAATTTTGCAAACTGGAAATTATGAGTCCAGATAGAATTATTCGCAGTTTTGCTGAAAACAGAGATAACGAACTCTCAGGAAAAGCGGAAACAGCAAATTGAGCAGATTTGTATCAAAAAGCTCTAGATAAACGTGCCTTGTGATTGTAGAGATAACTATCGTTAGTAATAATTTAATTGAGAGTACTGATATGTCATAACGGGTAAAGAAAAAAGTAGATTTAGAACGTCAAATTTTATGAATTTGAGGTAGATTGTGCCAGTTTATCTGCAACAGGTTGTTCCTAAGCCACATCACGTTTTTATTTTAGTTTATGAACTTATATATATTAATCTCGCTATTTTAAATTTGCATACTGTTCTACTAGCATATTTTCGAACACAAAGTAACGAAAGATGGTTGATTTCCTTTTGTATCTTTTGTTACACTCGTGTGAAAAGATAATGTTTATCATTGGACATGTTGATATGCATATTATGAAAGTCCTAAGGTTTATGTGTTCCTACTGTTGAATACTGACTTGACTAAATATGTACATACGACAATTTTACGAGTGTACTGAAAATATTGAGATAAAGACTGCTAAAGATTAAAGAGAATATTGAATACGTACATATACATCTACGTAACAATAAATATATTTTTTAAAAGATTTGTGTTTTTGTTTCTTATAGAAAAATATAGCTGTAGTGCTTTTAAGAATGCTGATTAATTCCTTTAAATACCAACATTTCCAATTCAGACCAAACACATAGTAGGTATAAAACGTTTATTTGATTGACTTACACTACAATTTACGGATGTACTTACAGGAAAAGCTTTCAATATTTGTATTTAATTTAAAAATGTTTAATCGGTATATAAAAATTAATACAGTTTATAGTAGCAAGAAGTCGCTAATCTAAAAATATGTTGTTCTTAGCTCAAGTTTGTTATCTGGCTATCACAGCAACAAGTGATAATTCGTTGTTTTCCACAATTTTTCATTGGTGTGTTTGGAAAGGACTTTCTTTCGTATAAATATAATAATTCTAGGGCTTCCCTGCCCAGACTTGTTACTTCCTATCTTAAATTGTTAGTTATTTTTTTAAGGAAAAAACCAGTCAGCGTTAATGTCTATGCGGATGCAGGCGAAGGAAAAATGTCAAAAAGACCGTGTATGTTTATATTATATAAATTATATACATACACGGTTATTTATATTATTTTATAAACATACACGGTTATTATATAAACCGTGTATGTTTATAAAATTTCACTTTTTCGGTGCTGACCCGGTCCTGCACTGAATTGTCCTAAAAAAACCTAATCGATTTCATACATCACTATTAACTACAGTCTAAGGAATGTACAATTGCTTAAAATATGTAATATATATCTTCATAATAGCAAGTCCAATAAATAAATATACAAGTTTTGTATAACAAACGTGTTCGTGTTTGATAACGAAATGATTCCCAAGATTTAGACAAGTTGAAGGATTTACTAGACTCAAACGAAACTATTACACATTTAAAATAAAATCAGTCCTAGAAACGATTTCCACGTAAATATACAAACAGTCTAAATAGATATAACTAAAACCAAAAACTAAGATATAATAATGGACGGTAAAAATTACCATTCAATAATATAGAAGGCACAAAAAGTTGAATTCATTTTAAGACATATTTTATCCATATATTTAAAATATATCTACAAAATAAACATCGGGCTCCTCTTCATACTACTTTGATGGATTTTGTCATTTCGAAGTCGTTCCTCAAGTACTCAATAATTATAAGGTCCATAAGCCGAGCCAGTAGTATAGTACGGTCCTGAGTACTGTTGAGGTGGGACGGGATATCCGGCATAAGCATACTGTTGCTTTTGAGGATAAACTAAATCAAAAATAGTTTATATTTAATTATTACTCGATTAACTGAAAAAGTGATATTTTAATCTTTATTTTCTACAATATTTAATTTTTTGTGTAAAAAATGGACTAATCTATATGAATGAAGCAAAGCAAGCTGAGCAAAATTTGGGATTATAAAACATATATGGTTTGTGAGAGATGAAGGTTTTACAAGTTACAATGATAGTGAAGACATATTGATTTAAAATAGCGATTAGTTACCAAATGTTTGTTAACATTACTACGTGTTGGATTGTTTAGTAAGATAAATGGCATAATTTTTGGGGTTTGGACTTAATCTATGAGAAGATGCAGTTAATTTGGATTTTTTTCAGATTTGGATGTTTTCTATTTCTATTTAATGCACCATAAAATATGTTTGGAAGGGGTTTTAGCGTTTATTTATTTTGTCTAACATTCATTTTTTCGGGTAAGTTAATTGCAACCGGTGTATTAAGTTTAAAGGTGTAAATTGTACTTTATCCTGTGCCTCAAGAATTTTTTTTAGGCGATTAACTAAACTTTTTACGTGAAATTGATCATTTTTTTGAAAAATTCTTATTGTTCGACCGTGCCGACCGTTATTTTATTATTATTTGTGGTACTTTTTCCTCCCTTTTTACCACCGGTGAAAAACTTGTGCTTAATGTTTCACGTTTAGTAATAAAAAACTTGTTTAATGATGGAAAAAAAGTGTGTGTAGTTTGCTCGGCCAATATTTGAAAATTTCATTTTAGTGCAAGAAATTATGATTTTCTGGAAAAGAAAGTTTTTATTTTCTCTTTTGTGGTATTTTTTAGAGCGATAGTGCGGTTTTTTTGAAAAACGTGACTTACAATTGAGAATTGCGAATTTTATAACAAAAATAATTGCGTCTCTAAAATACACAAAATTAACAGTAATAAAAAAGTAGGCAAAAAACATGCACATTTTTGAAGGTTTTTTTGAAGAAAAGGGAGGGAAAAACATTTCTCGTGCGTGCTCTCAACTTTTTTTCATTCTCAAGTCACTAACGGCTTTCTAATTAATTTTCCAAATTTTCAAAGGCAGTTATTTATTGCAATATTTTCTCGTTCTTTTTATTAACTTTTTCAAATTCGTTGAAAAATGGATTTATTGATGTAACGACAGATATTTTAACTGGTCGCCTTTTGCATATTAATTTCTGCATCATTTACAGTTTTCCATCTCCGACTGCTACATTTTTTTCTGGGAAATGGCGGTTTCGAACTTTATTTTAATTATGAAACTTTTAATTCAAATCTTCGATATTATTTTGCTTCGGGTGAATGAAAATAGGAAACCAAAAGCTTAAAAAACTGGAGGAAATAAGTGCGATCGCTCTTGCAAATTAGATTAAAGCTGACTTGGGATAAGTATGTAGGTCCTCATCTAACTTTCACAATTCCTCAATTATTCAGTTGATAATTTCCCTATTCATTTTGTATGATTTCGGTTCATTTATTGTGCTGATAATTTATCTGATTAGTTTCAATGGCACTTTGAAAAATCTTCGATTTCACGGCCTCGATAATTTTCTGTAAAGAAAGAATTGATCATTCAAATCCTAAACAAAGTGTTGTTTTTTCGATTGCAAATCGAATGGAGTTATTTGAGCCCATAACTTTGAAAGAATCAAAGGACGTTATGAAATATCTACACTTAAAATGTATGTTAGTTGTTTGTTGCATGCAAAAGAGTTGTCAGTGAGTATTGCCCAAGCAGGCTTACACAGAAATGTACAGTAAACGAATTATTATGGATGTCGAACACTTGCCATTGCAGTTCTAACAACTATTTTGTATGTAATGCTATAATACCAGCCTAGGCGGGTGTGGGGAATTCTTAATTATCCTTTCTCCTAAAGCCACCACCTTGGCTGGAATTTGATTTTGGTTTCAATCAAATGTTTGCATATTCGCTCTTTCCAGGGGCTGTTTAGTTCAGAAGGCAACACATTTTGCGGAATGTTCTAATATCTACTAAGTGATCTCCAGGATAAAATATTGACCCGTTTTCTCATATTTGCTCCGCGTTGCGGTGTCCCGATGAAGAACATCTTAGGATTTAGTTTTGCCCAAAATCAAATTCCAGGTGTTTCCCAAAAGAGAGTTACCAGGCATTAGATATTGCATGTTAATAGCCTCCTCTCGTTCCCTCTCGCCTCGAAGGCAAATGGCTGCTCCAGAAAACAAGATTGCGGCCGTCAATGCCCACCCGACGCCCGCCCAGGCCAACATGTACCCCCAATCGTAGAAAATTCGCGTTTGATCACGCAGCACCTGGAAAGATGGGAAGGAATATTAGATAGATTATGTGCCGAACTCCATATACACATTTTCACGATCGGAATCAATTGAGGCACTGGAACCAGCTCGGAACGATCATCTACATGAATCAACCAACAGCAATGCGATATATTGAATTCGGCAGCAAATTAGTAGGTACGATGATTGGGGATTTCGTTGTTAGGAACCACGAAGCGGGACATAATTTTTTCAGGCATGATTCACAGTTTTTTTTCTTGATTTTTTTGCATCTAACCTGGCACTATGTACTGAACATTGTCCAATTGTTCTCTATCTTTTTCGGCCTGGAGGCAACATGACCCGAAAAAGAATAACAACGATCCTCCTAAGCATGAAAACACTCCCAACCAGCCGAGGGCAAATCCCCAGTCGTAAAATATGGTCGTATTGTCCTGTAAAAGCTGTAGGACAAGTTGTTAGACACATTTACATACATTATATTTAAGTATCAAACTAAAAAGTTTTACAAAAAATAACAGCAAACATTTTCTGAGAATCAATTATGACAGAATTCACATACTTTGCACTAAGAACATACAATATATACTTACATAAACGCACTAATTGATATTGCTACGATATTTTTTGAATAATAAATGAACGCAATAGAATTTATTTAGGCCGTTTTCTGGCTAAAAGTGTACGGAAATGTAACATTAGTTTACTGAATAACTCATAGATATATAAATCTTTAATGCAAATATTTAGCGTGAACAAGCTTTAGGAAAATAATCAACCAATACATTTTGATTAAATCATTAAAAGTGACATACAATTTGCGTAAAATAAGTGTTCTTGATAGCGCAAGAAACTTGTAAAGTTTATATGGTAGATTTTTCTATATGTGTATTTTTATTTTTATTATACTAAAATGTCATCTTTCTGTATATTCATCAGGAATATATTACTTTCGAGAATCCATTAAGTTTTAATGCACAATTGCGATTCGATTTATTGATTTGCTAGGAAACACCCAGTGTACTTTGCATTGAAAATTTTCTCTTTAATAAGTGAACTATTTAGTTTTGAATCAATTTTAGTTGTGATTTTATCATCTACCACCATCAGCAAATCTTTCTTGAGCGCGATTCTGAGTGGTTCCTGTTTAAATTTATAAAATTGATTCTATTTTAATAAATAATTTAAATTGGAATTAAGTAAAGCACAGTTAATCAAAATTATTGAACTAAATCAAGAAGAATTTTACTTGCAAAAACTTACAGTACTCCATTGCTGATAAAACTCTTCTCCTACTTGCTTCTCCTTTTCGTAGTATTCGACGCCGTGCCAAAGTCCCATTGCACCAGCACTAAGAAGACCTAAAAAAGGATTTTTTTATGAAAAAGGAAACTCTCCCATATGCTAAAAAACAAAAAAAAAATAATTTAACCCTGCATAGGCGAGTTAAAATAAGTGTTGCAGAGGAAATTAAACCCTTTTTTGCATCCACCATTTTTCTCTCCGTGTTTTGATCGACGAGATGCAGGGTGTCAAAAATAAGATTTATTTAAACATTTGTCATACTGAAGCGCCAATGCATTCTACCCAAAAAAATGCTCTTAGTTTACAGCTCTAGAGTTTGTTTTTGAGAAAAATAACGTTTCATAAAAAACGTTATTTTATCGTTGTTATTTAAGACCACCCCTTATATTGAATTAAATATACAATTCGAATTATATTGAAAATAACTTTTCGCAACTATCGCAACTGAAATTTTGCAAAACTTGTTTTTTATGCAGAAATTGGATCTTTTCTACTACTGTACAAGATCTTATTAAATTATTTGACCTAGTGAGACTCTTTTCACATTCACAATTCTGTATGTACACTAACCAATATGAAAACTTACTGTAAATCACCTTTAATATAACAATTGCAAATAAAAAAACTGCCTTACATAAACTGTATGCGAGAATCTGTAATTTTTCTTAACCTTCACCTCTAGCTGGTACCTTGAAAACTCTTCTTTAATTCATTAGCTTTTTTACATTTTCTCACATCACATTAATTAATTGATTCAATTCGACATTAACTGCTCTAATGTTGATTACAGTGCGGCAGACAAACTGAATTAGTAATTGTATAGAAACCGAAAAATCAACATCCTGTTTATATCGGTCCAAGGTGTATATTAACTTTTACAAAACGAAAATATATACAGTCGGAATTAATTTGCATTTCACAGTTTCCTGTTACGGCTGGTTCTTTCTCAATGATAAATGATTTTCTACGTTAATTAGCATGTAGAGTTACTTATCAATGATCACACAATAATTATAGACTTCCAAAGAGCTGAATTTGTTATTTTGTCATTATCCAGTTGCATCGAATAAGATGTGAAAACTGCATTAAATGATAATGTTAATGTGTAGAATTAGGTATAAAGTAACTAAATGAAACACTTTGATTTTGACTGAATTCCAACAAAATAATCCTTAATGTAATTACTGTAAAATATCCAGAAAACAATTAGATTCCTCGTAACGCTTTGCTTCTGTTGATTTAATTTCATTTGGAGAATTAACTGCAGTAGATAGACTTGATTTCCATCATTAATACGCATAGAGTAAGTGCTGATGAAAACAGTCAATTACAGTAAAATCAGTTGAATGAAAGGCGATGAAAAAACTGCATAAACACTTGAGAAATGCGGAATTAAGAATTACATTCCAAACTAGTGTGTCGAATGCAATTTGTATGATTCGTTTCAGACCAATAAAACTAGACAGAGCACGACGAGCAATTAGTTGCAAATTGCCTCTTAGAGAAAGACAAATTTACAAATTAGTGCCTAAATTTGTTATAAAAAATTCAATTTTTGCTTCAGATTTTAGTATTCAGTATGACAATTTTATGAAAACATGTGTTTGATTTATTCGATTGCTTTGGATCCAGTAATTTGTTATGTCGTTTTATATTATATTGCTCGTGTACTTCAAGACATTTTGCAAAGTTCTTTAAAATTTAGTGTAGCATTGTGAAATCGATAATTAGGAAAAAATACTGGAAACCGCTGAATGAGTTCAGTAGATTTTCCGTATGTGATTGTCATATGAAAATGATTTTATAGCGATATAATGGGGCTTTCACTTAAATATAAGCACTTATTAATCTGAGCTTTATAACTGATAATAAGATGCGATAATTATGTATAGAATGCCAACAGAAAGGCGCGGCAGCAGCTGCATAAACACCCATAATTTTGAATGGATTTGTCGAAGTTCGGAATATTAATTGTTCATAGCATGAAATATTTTATATGCAAACAAAAAAATTACTTTTTGTTCCTTTTCAGAGAACCAGAATACAAAGAATCTGATTAAGCCAGTTTTTTAGTTAAAACCTGTGAAATCCGTCTGCTTAAGTCTTGCTTATCGACTTTTACGAATCCGTAAGACGCTGCAAGAAATATGAATATATTTCTTCATTATTCCATTCATAATTTGATCTTTTTGCCCCATTTGAAACCATTAACTTGCCAAGTCTTTTTTGAATGTTTAATGCGATTTAAAATGGCTCTAGATGCCCTATAAAAATGATGTAATGTACTCAATGGTTAGTGAAAGCTCCAAATCTATTGTCCGTCCATATCCAGCCGTAAAATATTTTCTATTATGCATTTGATGGTTTACATAATTTATTTAAATCGCTCAAGCGAAAAAAATGAGTCGCGAACTAGTGAAAAGTTGAACTCAAGCAATACTGAAATGAAACAATGAACTTACATGCTAACAGCATAAGTATAGCAGTGGCTGTAATATTTCCTGGCGATCTTCTCCAACATCCGGTAACTCCTGTGCAAAATGCTGCAAAAACGGCGAAGAATGAGATGATAAAAAGCGCTACCATCGATCTTCCCATATCTGAAAAAAAGGCATTCATTAATAGTTGCAACAGCGTGGGTTTTATTTATCTTTGATTACAGTTATGATACAAAATTTGATAAATCCAGAATGATCAGCATACTTAAGTTTTTACTTACGCAGTCTTGTCCAGGCATCGTCCGTAAAATCTTTGGTTTCATTGTTCTCATCAGGAATGTAGTAGTTAATATTTGAGCAGTAAGTTTCCACTGGACTCAGGTACAATTTAACTGAAAATGATTGCAACATTTTTTTAAGTTCAGGTGTTGTTCGGCAATAAGTTGAATGAATATCGAAAGAACACCTTAATTTAAATAACAGAAAAATAACGATCGAACCATCTAATGGCCAATGTGTTTGCAAAATGCACTTCTAATTGGCTGGTTTTGTCTTAACTAATTTAGATCTCAGGATTTAATTGGAAGCTTGGGCAATAGGAGAACTAAGATAAATTTGCAAAAATGTGCAACTTTATCTGAGGAAATTTATATAATGAAGAACGTCCAGAGGCTAATTATGAGGATAAACGTGAATTCAGGTTTTAGCAGGTGTAGCAATGGTTTATCAATTATTAATAATACAAATAACTTTTGACATTAAAATCATTGGAAGATCGAAATGCTGAATCACGTAAAATTAAAAAAAATAATTTTGGGTGAAGAAAGCGATTTCAACTGAAAGGTATTATTTCGGTAAAAAAAATCAATAAAATTCAAGCGGATTTCTTGCTCATAAAATGAATTATTTATTTAAAAAAAAGTGATTAAAATTATTCAAAATTTACCGGAAATTGCATATATTTTTATGCATTATTTCATAGCCATGCTGCGCACCACGCACCAGCCTAATTTGTACGAAGTACTTGAAATAATTATTGCCAAATATTTCAGCAGAAAATATCTCAAGGAAAAATATTGTTCTATGCAAAATCGATCACGGTATATTATTGAAATTGTCATTGTGTGGGATTTCCTAATTGTTCCGCATAAATTAGATATTTGTCTCAACAGATTTAGCTTATCTTATACAGTCCAGTCATTAAAAGTTATAAATTATTCATTAAGAGTTCAAAGTGGTATTCAGGCTTTACACAACGTGGTTTTAACATACAATGATACGGTTTGGAAATGGACGGGAAATTTTCCCACTTGGGAATAAAAACCGATCGTTTTAGTTTGTCGATCTGACGAAACTAATTAAACACACATTCCATTGTATCAAATGATTTTTCTTTCCTCGATATACTGGGTTGGTTTTACGTTGTTTAAACAAGTCACTAATATAAAATGTTTTCGTAATTATGCATAAAAAATCACTAATTTAATTTATCTGTGTCGCCTTGAAGATTTGAAGTCGTTAACATAAGAAAGGCCGACCGTTTGGAATTTTTGGAAACTGATTTTTGCCAGTTTTTTTAGGCGCTAGCAAGCAATTGTTTTTTCAATATTAACGGCGACTCAGATTTAGATCGCATTGAAAATTCTCTACATAGATTTTTTAAACTTTTATTGATTCATTTCAAAAACGTAATTCAAATCAATTCCAATTATTTTGTGTTATTTTGATGCTTATATTTTTTTAGTTTTTTAATTTTTATTGCATACTTTCAAAGGTGACTACAAATGAAATTATTTGGTTGAAACCCGCGCAAAATCGCCGCCTTTCCAAGAGAACTTGTAACGTAAATTATACATTCATTTAAAATTCAAAGGACTGTTTTTTGGAAGAAAGCGCGGACCCGTCAATTTATTTAAGATAAAAAATATTTTTTCAGGCAAAATCACACAACTATTTACCTGCGTTTTATGTGAATACCAGCTGTGCATTCTATGGTGCAATAATATCCGGCAGGAAAATCGCAATTTTGATTTTGCAGTTTTTATATTTTTTTGAGTTTTTTTAACTTTACCATGGTCTTCTAGAAGACTTTTCTTAGCCACTTTGCCCAATTTCTGTCAAATCGAGTGTTCAAACGCAAGTTCTAAGTTTCCCAAAATCATGCAGTCTCAAACTAGAAAATCTAGCTATTATTTCAAGCAACAATCGAGTTCTTCCGTTAAGGTTCCCTCAAAACCATCCATTTCTCAAAAGATCCAAATGGCCGTTCAAATTAAATTTTTTAAACGTTTGTGACTTGAACGCAGGGTCAGTGGAAGAAATCAAAAACAATGTAACACCTTAATGTTCCTCAACAATTGCCATTAATTCATCAGCAGTATGTTTCGAGGACAGGCTGATAGTGTTCATTTGATTCGTGAACGTTCTTTTGAATTTTGAGCTCCCGAGGTGCCGAATTATTTTAGTGTCTTGGAAGTGTTTTTGGCAAGAACCCAAACGCCTGGATCGACAGATAATGAGCAAACCAGCAAATCAGAGGCAAGCAGTAAATTGAATATTTCACCCAAAGTGGAAGAAGAGGATGTGCAAATTTTGTTTGGTTTAAAGCAGTTTTTGCTCAAACTCCCGATTCCTTCTAACAATTGTGAGGATGCTCAAAGCTGTGGAAAGAGCAGCACAAAAATACTTTGCTTAAAATCCAGCCGAGATTTCCAGATTGAAAACCCTCTCCTCCCTATACCTAAGTAACTGGTGTAAATGGCCAAACAAAACACTTATTGAGAGAAAGCTACGTCTGTAAACACGTAAAGTGGACATCAAAAGCCTACAGGTGCTAAATCCCAAGAAGAAAATCAGCCTGGCCAAAAAAAGGCTTCAACCTGCCAGAGTATGCGTTACGAAGCCACAAACTTCTTCCCAAAGCTCCAGCTCCTCACCTTCATCCTCCAGACTATCAAGCGAACCACCATCCCTGGGTACTTTAGGATTGGTGCCCAATTGGGAATGAAATTAAAACTTACAAGCTAAATTAATTAAACAAATTCATCTGACGCTACCACAATATTCTCGCCCGTCGGCTTGAACCCATTCAAACGTGTGGGTTAAGAAATAAGGATGTGGAGACACAAACAAATTACTCCATTCTCCGCGAATATGACCTTAAACTATTTCGCCTCGCGATGGATCTTCTTACGATTTCTTTTCTTTTATTTCTAAGAATGGTTTGTCTGCATTTCGGTTGCATTTGCAACTTTATTCCCTATTTTTGTATCGATTACTAGAGTTTGTTATTACTGGCAAAACAATGCGAACTAAACTTTATTGACTGTTTTTTGTAGTTGCAAAATATCAATATTAAAATAAATATTCAAGGAATTGTGTTTTACTATGATTGTGATAAATTATTAAAACATGACATTTAATGAGGAGTAAAAAATAATTTTTGGTAAAAATGCGATTATTTTTAGAATGCTGTTTGAAAGAAATATTTTTTACTTTGATCACGTTTAGTAAATGTTTGGAACTTTCAAACCCATTCAAGGTTTTTAGAGGCAAACATTATCAAGCACAGCATATTAATTTGCGGTCGAATCCTTAAAGCTGCAATTTTCTTCTACTGGAAGTAGAGTATAAAAATTATAAATTTTCTTATTATTATTTATATAGTGGGAAGAAAAAATACGAAATAATTTCAAAATTAACAACTTACGAGTTGGAGGCCTTTCCTTGGGAAAGCACGTCCTGAAGAGTCCCTTCGTCCTCGTGTAGTAAAAGTACTTTGAATTGACGGCATCCAGCAATGCTTGACTCTGCACATCTGAGTTTCTGCTTAGGAAATTCTGAAGCAAACCAACATTCCATTAGGTCAGCTTCAAATGTATGAGGAATATTTGGGTTAAACTAAGTCATGTGCATTGGACAACACTAAATAATAATCCATCAGAAAGTTGATTAATATTGCTTTGTTTTTGTGCATGACGGAGCTTGAGTATCCATTTATATTAGATTATAGCGCGCATTTGAAATTGCATCGCTAAAATATATGGTTTGCACTTCCAAATTGACCGGTAACATATTTGCAGCGACTTGTCAGCCTTGGTATCAATCATGCTACAAGTTTCTACAGCATGCACTTAATAGGCTGAAAAGCTTGTTTTCTTTAACCCAGATTTGTGCGGTAAATAAGTACTTTTCAACTTCCTGCGGTCGATTTGCATTATATCCTTTTTTACATTGAGCAAAGGCTAAAGAAAGCACACAAAATAATTATGAATCTATGTTCTCAGTAATTATTTTCTAGGTTGACATCTAAATGCTTGAGCGATCCAAACTCAAAAATCGCATTAACTGCGGCTATTTATGTGGGTTTTGATGCCTTTCTAAAAGGAAATTGGACCGTGACTATCTTTGAACATCAAAGAGGAAAATTGCAGAAGTGATAAAGAGTTTTAAAGATTACTATTGCAGATTTTTTTCGAAGTGTTAATTTTTCTTTTGGTGTCTATCCAAGAGCGAGCGAGTGAAGATATTAACAGATGCTGCACGAAACGGTTATAGTAAAATTAAATATGTAAATTTTTCCGCTATTAGCCAATAAACGCAGGCACAGATAATTTATTGTCGATAAGACTTAAACCGTCTGAACAGGAAAATTATTCCTAAGAAAGGCAAGTCTTTTTGAAAATATACTTTTGTCTTGAAAACATTTTTCCAAGTGTTCAGATTTCTGTTCAGCTAAAATAATCAAACTCAGGTCATGTTACTAACTCTTATCAGAGAATAGACATTGTTTTAATTTGAAACATTAGAGCCACGGTTGGGTGAGGTCCACTGATATTTTAAATTTCTCTTGTCTTAAAATGTCAAAAAAAATTGTAAAAAAGGCAGAGAAAGTGTTTTAATCGTTAATATTTTTCAAATAGGTTTGAGTTATCTCGTGCAAACCCGATATTTTTGAGAATATTTGATAACTGTTTGCACTTAATGTTATTTGCTTATATTATTTGCGGTTGTCTTTGAAAATGTATAAATCGCAATCAAACGCTGGGAAACGAACGAAAATAATTAAATAATTAATAATAATTTAAAGTCCAAAATATGCGCCTTGTAGGAATTTCCGTCGATTTTAAAGAACTTTCCAAATATTGTTTAAAAAACTAGTGTTTTAATTCGGCGTGATCGCCACCGAAATTTTATAACTTTTGGTCAAGAGCGGTCAAAAACGGTTGAAATTTTGAATATTTGCTGAAAAATCTGAAATTTATAATGCGTCGAAAATTGCAGATATTTAAGGATTACGTTAGGTTTTTTGAGAATCTAGCAAACTTTCAAAAAAATTACGGTCTTAATTGTGCTGGCTTCTCTTTAAAAACTTAAGTGGCAAATAAGAGCATCGAAAGACTAAAAATTGTGAAAAATGATCAACAAAATTTTCGCTATCAGGGGTGGACCATCCACCAAAATTCCTAAATTAGTGCAATTCTTAGTAATTTAGGAATTTTGGTGGACTTGTGATAAAAGTTCACATTTTCCTTAGCTGATGTGTGTGCGAGTGTCATAAAATGTAATTTAGAGCGGGCAAAGAAAACACAATTTAGAATTTTTGAAGAAGAGATGCAAATAGTTCAGGCACACAAATTTCAGCTTCGCACGAATTGCCGTTGGTTTTTCAAAAAAATTCACATTTTTCTTGGCTGAAATGTGCACGATTATCTTTGAAATTTGAATCATAAAATGTAATTTAAGGCAGTAAAAGCAAAAAATATTAAAAAAAAAGGCGCAAATGGTTATGAGTGAAAAATTACAGAATTACAAAAAAACGCCATAAAAGAAAGGAGAAAACGGGCTGAATAGTAATTAATTAAAAGAAAAAACCCTGACTATTAACAGTCCAAAATCGGAGTTTTTCAAATTAACCCCAACAGTTATCTTGTTCAATCAAATTCAGTATTTTGATGGATTTTCCAAATGTATTTGCTGGCATATGCGTCTTCAAAAATTCATAAAATGTAGTAAAGGCCTGTTAAAGGAAAAAAAAAATTGGATTTTCTTAGAAAGAGAGCTATTTATTATGAGTGTAAATTTAGTCTTGCAGAAATTTTGGTTAAAATTTGAAAAATTCTTCTCTGATTGTTTGAAAATTCTTCAGTTGTGAACAAAGCTCAGCCTTTTATTTTTTAATCAAGTGTTTGTTAATTTTGCAAAATTTATGAATCTACATATAAAAGGCCTGAGTTATTAACCTCACAAAGGGAGACTTTTGGGAATTGTGGTTAATTTGTGGAATTTATTAAACTTTAAAAAACCAGTTTTTATAAACTTTTCATTATCCTGCCAAACGAAACTCAAATTCTGTCCGTAGAACCCTAGCCAATCAAGATATGAGTAATTTTTAATCTGAAATGCTCTGGAATTTCATATTCAAAGCGCGTTTCCTTCTTTAGAGAGCATTTTTGTATAACAAGATTGAGATGAAACCGTCTTTAGATTGTGCGGCTTCCTAAAATTTCGACTATGTATTTCGCCAAAATGATCATTTTTATGCAGACTTTCGAAATCGTTTAACTGGCAAACTTTTTGCATAATTATGGGCAAATTTTTTTAACTTTAGTTGCCGCTCTTAACGACGTCCTGTTAGTCTCAAGAAGCTGTAGGAAACAGATGGATTGCATCAAATTTACTAATCAGGAAGAGCGCTGCTCATTTCCCTCTTCTTAGACCGCTTTCGTCAAGTTTTAAGTGGCATTTTACCATATTTGCACCATATGCTAATGGAGCAGGTAGATTTTGCTCCACAAATGAAAAACCTTAATGCTCGTCAGAGAATCAGTCGAGATTTAGTGAGGCATGGATAAGTGATTTAAAAAAATTTAAACCATCTTTAAACTTCAAGATTTTAAAAATCACTGGTAGGACTTCATTCCTGTATAGTTACAGAAGACTCAGAAAATGTTAGATTTACAGTGTAAACTGATTCAAAGCATGGTAGGTGGTAGTGGATCGACGTTGGAAGGTACGTCAAGGTCGACCGCACATTCCATTCTTTGACCCCAAGCCTGAGCAGCCAAAGGCATGATTTCGCACTAAACATACCAATTATGCGGCAAAAACTCTCTTGTAATTAACCAGGTAATATCCAGTTGCAACCACTCAGATTACCCGGAGCCTGTGCATGTTCAACAGAATCACCATGATAACTTTTGATCAGAAATACCAATAAAAAAAGTCAAAGAACTTGCTTCGAGACGTTTCAAACTGTCGGGTTATCACCAAAGCTATTAAAAAGCGTAATGTGCAAAATATTAATGTACTGAATAAAGACATTAAGCAAAGCATAGAGACATTAAGCAAAGAAATGCTAACAGCAAACAGTACTATAGTTAGTAAATAATTAAGTACAAAAAAGTTAAGTCGCGAATCTTTGCT